TTTTCTTTGTGCATTGCTAAAATGAACTGTCAAGTTTCTTTTATTTCAGTCTTAGTAATTTAATTCACTTAGAGACTCTTCAATAATGGATGAGATTCAATAACCAATGATATTCAGTGGCAATTTTAAACATCTTATCTGCAACTATTGACTATAGACAGGGCATATTTTTAGATGGAAATGCAGGAAAGTCTATAAATAAAATACATGAAGGCCGAAGAAGACCCATCTCATTCTCATCGGGACTCTGACAGCTTCTGAGCTAGATAGTTTATGATGTAACCATGTCATTTCTTACCTTAGCCATATGCCATATGCAGCTATTCCCTTTTTATAGATAAGGAGACCAGGGCTTAGAGAAGTTAAGTATTTACTCACATTCATATGTTCACATGACTTTAAAGTGTAAAGTTGAGAATTTCATCCTGGACAATCTGATCCAGTGTAGTACTTTGAGTCTAAAATACTCCTTAGCCCACATATCTTACTCATCCTTGTGAAATCCCAGTGAGAACACTCAGAAGAAGAAAAAAATCACAGGCAACAAACAAGCGCACATTTTGTTGCTATCTTGGATTTTTGGACATTGAATAGTTGTTAAGCTACAATACAAGGTAATTTCTTCCATGAACAGTTCCTGAATGTGTTAGCCAGTCAGCTTTCCATTACTGTAACAACAACAACAACAACAACAAATCAAACCAAACCAAAACAACAACAAAAACTTAATAAAGAAGATTTATTTGGGCTCTTGTTTTCAGACCATGGTCACTTTGCCATGTTACTTTGGATCTATGCCAACATAGCACATCATGTGAGGAGCATATGGCAGAGAAGCCCTGCTCTTACAGAATGCAGAAATCGAAGAGCGAGGAGACTGGTGCTTCCAATATCTTCTTCATGGACCTGTTCCCAAATGCTCCACCTTCTCACAATAGCACTGTGGGCTAAGGAACAATCCTTCAACACAATGACCCTCAAGGACCATTCAAAATCCAAGCTAAACATATTTGTTGCTAGCTGATTCTCTATGTAATGCATCTACTCTCATTTTTTATTTACTTTACTTTTAATTTTGAAATTTTATGGATCATATATATATGCACATACATTTACTTGATAACATGCAAAATATCTTCTTAAAAGAAGTGATACATTTCTAAGTTTGGACCGATTTTTTTTAATCTATACAAATATTTATACATTTTCATGAAGTAATATACACATACTGGCTTGATGCACACATATGTATATACTAATGTCTAAATCAGATATCCATGTCCTTAAATATTTAATATTTCTTGGTGATAAAAAAATCTGAAATCCTTTCTTCTATCTTTTTGAAACACACAATACTCCACCATCATTTATAGTTACATCACTATGTTATGAAAGAGCAGAGACCATGTCTGCTGTTTCAGCTTCATATTCCTTGACCTACTTTTCCTATCTTTGCATCCACTCATTCTTCCCAGCATCTAAAACTACATTCTACTTTAAACTTCCATGAGATTATTTTAGAAATATACTCTTCATGCAAGTGAGATCGTGCAGCACTCATCTTTCAGTGGCTGGCTTATTTCACTTAACATCATCATCTCAGTTCGATCTATGATGTCACAAATGAAAATCTTTCCTTCTTTTTATAACCCAGTAACATTCCATTACATATAAATACATCGCTTTTTTTATTCACTCATCAGCTGAGGGATATTTTGGTTGTGTTCAATTCTTGGCTGTTGTGAGTAGTACTATAATAAACATCAAAGTACAGATATCTCCTCAACATACTGGTTTTATTTCCTTTGGATAAATTCCCAGGAGTGGGATTTCTGGCTCATATGGCAGTTTGAGTTTTAATTTTTGAAGACTCTCTATTATGGTTTTCTGTAATGACTACACACAGTTTACATCCTCACCAACAGGATGCAAGAATTCTCTTTCCTTCTCAGCCAGCACTTGCCGTCTTTTGTCTTTTTTTTTTTTTTTTTTATAATAGCCATTCAAACTTCCAAAGATGATAGCTTCCCCCATTACATCTCTGGCTTGCATTTCCCTGATGACTAGTGATATTGAATATGTTTTACATCTGACTAGTGGCCTTTTGAGTGTCTTCTTCAGAGAAGAATCTGTTTAGGTCCATTGCCCATTAATTAAAATTATGTTATTATTTTTGTTGTTGGATTTATTGAGTTTCTAAATACGCTGAATATTAAGTTTTTCCTGACGTATGTTTGAAACATTTTCTTCACCTGTACAGATGCTTTTAGCTTACTGTAATTTCTTGTGTGTACATCTTTGGCTTTTATTTCTTGTGTTTTGAGGATTGTATCTAAAAAAAAAAAAAAATCCACCTACAGTCCAGTGTCCTAAAGCATCCCCATAATCTTTCTGCTTGTAGTTTCACAGTTCCAGGTCTCTAATTGTCTAGGATGGAGCTAGGTTCACTCTTTTGCACCATTCATCGAGGACTATAGACTTCTCTAACTCATGACTGTAGCAACTTTGCTGGAGAACAGTGGATTACAGGTACATGTTATAGCTTTTTTTTTTTTCTGTCCAACAATCCATGTGTCTGTTTCTTTGCCGGTATCATGCTAGAGTTTTGTAGTATATAATTCAGGGAGCTTAATATTTCCTGCCTTGTTCAAAATTGGCTCTTCAGAATTTTTGTGATTCCATATGAATTTTAGGATATTTTTCTAGTTCTGTGAAGAATTGATAAGTATTGCACTGTAAACTACTTTGAATAATATGGATACATTACTTTATATAATATATATCTGTACATTACTTTGAATAATATGGATAACCAATCCAGACAGTATTGCTCTTTTTTATCTATTAACACATTTCCCCCATTTGTATCTATATTTAGTTATTTCCATCAAAGTTTTATAGTTTTCACTATAGATATTTTTGTGTCATTGGCTTAATTTATTTCAGATGCTTTATTTTTTATATAAATGGAATTACTTTCTTTATTTTTCAGAAAAGTCATTATTGACATTGAGCAATGATACTTTTATTTTTAATGTCATCTCCTACAACTTTGCCAAATTCATTTCTTAGCTCTAGCAAATTTTTGTTTGCATAATTGATTGCCTCTTTTACTTTGTTTGTTTGTTTGTTTGAGACCAGAGTTTCTCTGTGTAGCCTTGGCTGTCCTGGAACTCTGTAGACCAAGCTGGCTTCGAACTCACAGAGATCCACATACCTCTGCCTTCTGAGTGCTGGAATTAAGGGTGTGTGCCTCCACTGCTAGGTTCAAGTGCCTCTTTCTGTAAGATTATATCACCTATACACAGTGCCTCTGTGACTTTTCCTTTGTCAATTAATATGCCACTTATTTCTTACTCTTGCCTCATTGCTCCAGATATATCTTCCAGTGTTCTGCTGAATTAAAGTATTGAAAGTAGTAGACTCTTGTGCTAGATCTTAGGATATTTTGAGCTCTTCCCTGCTAAGCATGTTAGATGCAAGATATATATTTCTTTAAGTAAAATTGTCCCCTGTCTTCAGGCAGGCTGTAAACTAGGAATGAGTGCCTGGCCCACTGGATGTCCTGGGATTCCAGTTGAAGCAGGGAAACAGAGAAAGTGCATGGGCCAAAATAAAAAAAAATAAGGTTTTGTGTATTTTGTTAAATAAAATAATGACTAGAAAATCTGTTATGACAGTCAGGATCATTAAAACACAAATCAACCCAATAAACACATTTTAATATGCCTGGAAAAATAGTACATATACAGCTATATGCAGGAAGATATTAATCACAGCAAAGATTTGAAAACATAAGATATGTCCAAAATTAGAAAAATCAATGCATAAATGATGACTTTTATACAATGCAAAATGTTCCTCTAATGTGGGTTGAGTGTCCTTAATCTAAAGATCTAAAATTTAATGCTATGCTTAAATATTTTCAGAATTTGAAAATTTAAAAATTTTGGATCTTGAATTTTCAGGTTTGGGATGCTCAATTATTAAAAATATATACAGATATTCCACAACTTAAAAACATCTCCAAACTTGCAAAAACTGTTGATCCCAAGTATTTCCAATCAAAACCATGTAACTTTTAACAAAATTTCAAGTAAATAAATTATAACAATGTCTTTACACTATTCGTCAAGTTTGATGAAATATGCATTCAAATAGACAAACCTGAAAAGCAATGTGTTGAAGCTTTCAAAGATGCTCTAACATGAGTGCTACTTCAGGGTTTTGTAAAATTTTTATTTATACAATTGAGAATTTCTTGAGTACTGTACTAACACCATTCCCCCCTCCCTCTCCACTTTCCAGTGCCTGCTATATCCCTTGCCTCATTCCCTTTCAAATTCATGGCTTCTTTTATTTATTTATTGTTGATTTACATATTTATGATATATATATATATAGTTGTAGTATGTATATGTATATATAACCTGCTGATTCCACTTACTGTTGCTTGTACATATGTTCTTAGAGCTGACTACTTGGTACTGAATAACCAATTAGGGAGCTCATCCCTGGGGAGACTGATTCTCCATCTCAGTAGACTTTAATTTCCTGTAGCTCTTCATCTAGGAGTGGGGCCTTATGAGATTTCCCACATCTACATTGGCATGTCAACTGGTTTTTGTCATCATTCAGGTCTTGTTTAGTTAGCTATACTGTTGATATTTCATGGTAGATAGTTTTCAATATCAAAAAGTCAACAAAGTTTGGGTAGGGTAGCATACACCTCTAGAGTCTGAGGCAGGAGGCTCAGAGCCTGGCTACATAGTGAAACTCTGTCTCCAGTGGCAAACAAACCGGCAATCAACACTCAGCAAAAAACCAAAAACCAAAAAACAAAAACCCATCACCACCAACAAAACAAGATCAAAACAACAACAAAACAAAACAAACAAACAAACAAAAAACCAAATCATGTATATGGAAAAACCGGGAGTGAACATCTCACCGAATAGCAAAAGACTAATTTTTCTTTAACCTAAAGCAGGAAAACTCACCTTTGCTACTTCTATTCAGCATATTGTTGGAAGTACTAGACAAAGAAATAAAAAACAATCCAATTAGAACGGAATAAGTAAGATTATCTCTGTTTGTAGGTGGCATGATTAGATATGCTGAGAATCCTAAACATTGTACAAAAATAAAACTAACAGAACTGACAAGTTCAGCCAAGTGTTAAGACATGAAAGAAGTACATGAAATAATCAGAAATCAGATGTTCCTCAACACAGTGACATGAGCAATCCGTGCAGAAAGTCAAAACGGTAATTACACCTGCAGCTCCACAAGAAAGAGTAAAATACTTAGGGATAAAATAAAGAAGTAAAGGAGACAATAGAGACAGCCATGCTCCTGGCTTGAAAGATTCAGTACCATCAAGTGACGACACTACCCAAATGATCTGCAGCTTGAACAAAATCTTTATCAAAGCCCCAATGTGTAAAGAAATTAAAACTCATATATACATAGTCAAAGTTCCAAACTCCCAAACTGGCATGAGGCAAACATTTCAGAAACAACTCCTGAAGCATGTGTTTTTTTTTCAAGTGATTTACTAGGATCATTCACTAAGCAAAAGAAAACCTCAGCAAACAGTTCTGGGAGAGCTGGATATCCACATGCAAAATAATAGATTTGGACTGTGGTGGTACTGTGTTCCCCGAAATATTGTGCACTCTAATAAACTTATCTGGGGTCAGAGGACAGGACAGCCACAATATTAAACATAGAGGTTAGGCAGTGGGTAGCACACGCCTTTAATCCTAGCACTCCAGAGGCAGAGATCTACCTGGATCTCTGTGTGTTCAAGGATACAACCAAGCATGGGGACTCACGCCTTTAATCCCAGGAAGTAATGGCAGTAGGCAGAAAGGTATTTGAGGCGTGAGGACGAGGAACTATAGGTCTGGTTTAGCTTTTAGGATTTTGAGCAGCAGTTCAGCTGAGATTCATTCTGGATGAGGACTGAGAGACTTCCAGTCTGAGGAAATAGGGTCAGCTGAGGAACTGGCAAGGTGAGGTAGCTCTGGCTTGTTCTGCTTCTCTGATCTTCCAGCATTCACCCCAATAACTGGCCCCAGGTTTGATTTTATTAATAAGACCTGTTAAGATTCTTGCTACATTGGACCTTTACCTAAATCCATATGGTAAAATTAACTTAAACTGGTTCTGTAACCTAAATCTATGATGTAAAACAAACTTTTAGATGAAACCACAGGATGAGAACTTCCCTAATGTTGAATTTGGTAATGATTTCTTATATATGACACCAAGGCACAGACAACAACTAAGGTAGATAAATTGAACTTCATGAAATTTTAATTATCTAAAGAAACTATTAACAGCAAAGGGGCAACCTAGTGAATAAGAGAACATATTTACAAATCACATGTGTGACAGCAGATTAATGCAGGATCTACAGTGAACTTCTAAAACTCAACAACAAAATAGACAGATCATTTCAAAGTCATGCAAAAACCTTTGTGGGGACATTAATTTATATATATGTAAATGTCAAATGAAAACATAAAAATATGCCAACATCTAATCAAAAAGGAAATTGAAGCTACAAGGAGATACCACCTTACTCATCTGAGTGGCTAATATACTGAACAGAACAAGAAGAAAGAAAAATGGAAAAATAACAAATGTTAGAGCAGTGGTTCTCAACCTGTGGGTTATGACCCTTTGGGAAACCTCTATCTCCCAAAATATTTACATTACTATTCATAACAGTAGCACAATTACAGTTATAAAGTAGCAACAAAAGTAACTTTATGGTTAGGGGTTGTCACAACATGTAGAACTGTATTAAATGGTACCAGCATTAGGAAGGTTGAGAACCTCTGTTTTAGAAGTATGTGGAGAAATTGGAAACTTGATGTACTGCTCATAAAAAAGTAAAATGGTATAAAACTAAGGAAAACAGATGAACTTTAAAAAAATTAATAAAAATACAATTGCCACATGATCCAACAGTTCCATTTTGGGGGTGTGTCCCCCAAAGAATTAAGATCAGTATCTTTCCAAGTGTAGTAGCACATGCTTATAATTACATCATTTCGGAGGATGAACAAGGATGCTTCTAAGTTCTAGTTCAGCTTGAACATCATAGCAAGAAGGTGTCTACAAATAAATACAGGGCATGACCTCAAAGAAGTAAGATCAGAGTCTTGCCAAGTGGAGTATCGAATGCCTGTAATCCTAGCCTTTGGGAGGCTGAGGACAAGACTCTCAAGTGCTAGTCCAGTGTGGACAAGACAGTGAGGACTTGTCCATGAAAAAACAAAGTCTCAAATAATCTTAGAACCCCAAACCAGAGTTTCATAGAAACATTCAGTATAGACAAAAACGTCAACATAACTCAAGTAGTATTATCAATAAATTCATGGATGAGAAAAATGTGCTATGCACATGGTCAAATGGTCATAGAATAGTGTCAGACTTGAAAAAGGAATGACATTCTGACATAGACAATGAGAACATTTTGCTAAGTAAAGTAAGTCGTGCACTAGTAGTGGATAGAATCTGAGGGAAGAGAATGAAAAGTTGTAGTTTAGTGGATAGAGACAGTTAGAAGACAAAGGGCCCAGGAGCTGGCAGGATTGCTTGCCTAGCATGCATTTGCCAGCACAGAAGTGTGCACCTATAATCCCAGCACTTAGCACCTGGGAGGTAGAGGCAGGGGATCTGAAGTTTAAAGGTCTACCTCAGCTACTTAGGGAGTTTGGGACCAGCCTGGTCTAGAGACTGCCTCAACAACAATGTAAAAGTATTATGGAGAAGAATAGTGGGGGTGGCTATATAAGAATATGAATATAGTTATTGTCACCAAACACTTAAATAGATACAAGTAAATTTTATATTTTCATAAGAATTTAATTTGGTCTCATTTTTTAAGACTATTGATTTCTAGCGAGGTGTGGAGGTACATGCTGTAATCCCTGCAATCATTCTGGAAGGTAAAAGAGCTGACATATTATAATTTACATGAAGTATGGCTGAAACAGTACCTGAAGAAAGAATGTACAAGTGTATAGTCCCATATCAAAGCAGGAGAGAAAGTCCTTAACACAATGACCCTGCCCTACCTTAAGATGCTAGATCAGGAAGAACCAAAGAAACCTAAAGAAACAGAAGAAAGGAAACAATTACAATTAGAGCAGTAATCTATGAAACAGAAAATGGGTGAATGAAACCAAAGGCTGATTCACCAAGAAGACCAATAGAGCTAATACAAACTCCATAGACAGACGAATAAAAGATATAAATTACCAATAGCAAAACAGAGTGACCTTCTGCAAGAGGGCTGACTACAAGTACCTGGTGTGACCCCCTCTCTTGCAGAGGAGAAATAGAAAAGAATGAACACCATCACTACACTGGAACATTTGAAGACAATCACTGAGCAGAGTGGGAATGAAACAGAGACTCTGGAACACTCAGAGTCAAATAAAGAAGCACAACAGCACATGCCTTGTATCAGCAGCCCCATCAGCGCTCCAGTCCACAGCAGACAACCAATGACAGGCAACAAAGCCCAAACCAAACAAACGGGATTCTATCAGACTCGAAGATTCTCCAAAACTGAAACCGCAGAATAAGGAAAATGGGAGCATCTCACCTGTGGTGGGTGGAAGGCAGAAGGAAAAGGAGGCTAGGGACAAGATGTAGTCTTCTAAGGCAGACCACCACTGGCCTACAACCTGAGAAGGTCTCACCTTCTGTTAGCCTAGTCACTCATCAGGTGACAAGGTTAGTGTCCTCAGGATTCAATTACCTCTCAGTAGTGTCACCAGCTGGAGAATGGGCCTTCCTTTCATACACAAGCCCTTCATTTTTCCCCATGGCTTAAAACAGCAAAATGACAATCGTAACTGTCTATTTTGTGTGGTTAGTAAACCTGATTTCAGCATTGTTTTTTAATATGTCTGTTGGCTCCTCATCGTTATAATGCTCGCACTACTTTTTTGATGAAGTTTTTTGAAAGAATTTGAACATATCTTTTACTTTAAAAAAGAAATCTGTCTTTGGAGGTTTTCTTCCCCATCAACCCTTTTAACTTTAAGATTAGACCTTTATTTAAACTCCACAAAAATCTATAATTTTCTTTTTGTCTCTTCATCTTCCTCTGCACCCTCTAGACGTCTCATCATTCACTTAAATGACTCCTGCATTATACCTTTCAAGTCCCATGTGGTAGGTATTTGTGCATGTGAGTGCATCTATGTATGTGTGTGTGCGTGAGTGTATATGTGTGGGAGAATGTAGGAGAGTGTGTGTGTGTTGTATAACGCCTTGTATGTGGTTTCCATGTGTGAGATATTATGTGATTGGAGATATTACCTTTCCTTGATAGTCTAGACCATTGGTTTGAGCCTCAGTGGTAATCATATAATTCATCTATTCATTTACTGAGATGTTCACGTTGGAAATTACAACTTTAGACACGATAAGTACTTTTGGTCTGCATTCTTATAAATTGTCGTATGAATTGTTATCTGTCTCCAGCAGCATTGCAAAGTGTTGTATGTTTTTTTCATGAGCATATTGCTTGTTATCATGAGATAGTAGTGTGGGTGCTGGAATAACTAGAAATGAGTTGAGGCCCTTGGTTTGGGGGAGGTGAAGGGACAGCAGTAGGCCTTTACTCCTGAGGAAGCAGGTGAAATCCTTTCAGATTCTGAAATCCACACCCCCTTCCTCCTGCACTAGTAAGAACCCAGCCTGCTTTGCTCCTTGATGAAGACTAGAAGAACAGGTGTCTGCATCGGTACTAACACTGATTTTCTTCTGAGGATCCATGCTGTTTTGGAACAGGAAATTTTCCTTCAGGGATCCTGTTTTTCAGTCTTCATCTGGAAGGTCTTCTGATCTCAGCTTCTCCCAGACCACACAGAATACAGCTCCACACAGCTTCTCCTCTGGGTGCCATGCAGCTGAACGTCACTTACACCTGAGTGTGCACCAGTGAGCTTTAGCAAAACCTCACACCTGAGTGTGTACCAGTGATCTTTAGGAAGGTCTCACAGG